TCGCAACTACTAAGCGCTACGGTCTTTTAGAGCTTACTAACCTAAGATACCGGTGCCTTATCGCCTAGCGTAAAGATATACGCCGTAGTTGATTTTCGGTTATCTAAATTGCCCCCGTAATCGGAGTCGTAGTAACCTTTAAGAAGCGGCGGACGATTAGCCCGATAAACAAGGCTATTCTGATTAGTATTAAGATATTTCCAAATCCTATCTAGGGCTCTAAAATGAGTCCTATCCGGATTAGACACACATCTTGCCACTTGCCCTACCGCGAAAGATAGGTCGGGTCTCGTTTGTATAGCTAAGTATATAAGAGACCCTACTTGTTTTTAATACTCAGATAGGTCCTCTATAGACGCTTTAGCCGTAGACTGTTTTAGGATTACTCCTTGCTCCGTAGGAGTAGCTACGCTAGCGCTAGTTTCTTTATTAAACCTCTTTAGTATCTTTTTAATATATGCCTTTTAGGAGAGTTCCACTACCCTATTAGGCCTATCCCTAGATACTTCTATACCTAGATAGTATCGTATAGGACCTAGATCGGTAACTTCTACCGTCTTAGAGAGATATTCTCGTATAGAGTCAATATCTTTTTTATTCGGACCGAATATAAGTAAGTCGTTAACGTGGCACGTAATTCGGATATTAGTTTCCTTATTTATAAAGGCAGCCCCGTCCTTAGGTATCGGTTTAAAACCTATAGTAGCTAGTAGGCTACTTAGCTTCTTAAACTATTGCCTAGGAGACTGTTTTAATCCGTATAATGCCTTATTTAGACGGCATACCTTATTCGTATTGTCCGTATAGCCTATAGGCTGTTCGACGTATATTTCCTTGTCTATTTCGGCATTTAGGAACGCGGATTTTATATCCCACTGTTCTATTTCCCAATTAAAATAAGCCGCTAAGTAGAATAACGATCGCCAAGTTTCGGGCCTTGCCGTTTAGCTAAAGGTTTGATCGTAATCAATCCCTTTTACTTAGTTATACCCTTTTACTACCCATCGGGATTTATGTTTTACTACCTCGCCTTTCTCGTTTAATTTTGATTTATAAACGAAGCGTCCTTTTAGCGCTTTTCGGTCCGGCGGTAGTTCTACTAGTTCCTAGGTGTTTTAAGCTTGTAGATCGGTTATTTCTTTAAGCATAGACTCTTTCCACTTCTCGGAATTAGGACTATTAATAGCATCTTTATACGTATCCGGATCGGTAATATTATCGTCCGCTAAGTACGCTATTTCGTCGTTGTTTCTATATCCTTCGTATAGATTAAACATATCCCGTATTCGGGTATTAGCCTCGTCTTTAGCTAGTCTAGGCCTTTTATATTTAGGCTCTTCTTGTATACTAGTAGTAGATTCCGGGGCGTCTAGAGACTGTTTCTTAGGTAGAGTAACTTCTAAGCTCTCTAATTCTTCTAGCATATTACCGCTAGGCCCCGGCAGTATATTACTATCGTTTTGAGTAGTAATATCTCTAATCGTATTAAGTTCTATAGTCGGTATATCTTGTAGTGTATCCGTACTAATAGATTCTTTAGTAGTATAAGTAGTACTACTTAAGAATACTCTATCGAGTATCTTAACGTTTCGAGACCAAACTACGCGCCTAGCTTCTAAGTCGTATAGTTTGTATTGTTTAGTACTAAAACCAATTAGTATAGCTCTTCGTACTCTAGATTCTAGCTTTTTCGGCGTCTTGTTCGTATAGTAAGCAATAGAACCGAACGTTCTTATATTACTTAGGTCGGGTTTCTCCTTATATTTTAGCTCGTAAGGCGTTTTAAAACCGAGGGCACTATGCGGTGTCCTAACATAGATGTATTCCGCGGTTTCTAAAGCGAATTGCCAAAATCTTTTGCTTAGTCCGGATTGAATTAGTAACGCCCGTACTCTATATAGTAGAGTTCGATTAGGTCTTTCGATTAGGCCGTTTTGTTCCGGAGTATAAGGAGCCGATAGTTCGTATCTAATACCGGAGTTCTTTAAGAATTCGGTCGTAGGTTTATTAACGAATTCCGTACCGTTATCGGTTTTAAATCTTTTAAGGCTCGGGCGTTGCATATTATTACTAAACTCGTTTTCGGAGTGTAGTTTATAATGTTTAATAGTAGAGAGTACTTCGGTTTTAAAGCGTAAAGTATACGTAGTAATAAAACGACTATAACTATCTAGAAAAGATATAAAGTAACGAAAGCCGTCTATAGAGATAGGTCCTATAGGGCCGCAGAGATCTGCAGTTACTTTATCTAGATAGCTATTAGCCGGTTTACTTATTTCTCGACTTATAGTCTTAGAGAATTTCGCTTTAAGACATACCTCGCAAGTAAGATTCTTATTACTAGTAAGATCTTCTTTTTGTAATCGAGGTTCCGGTAGTATTTTCTATTATTTTAGACATAGTAGGATATCCTATATGTCCTAAGCGTATATGTAACTCTCGATAAGGATCTCGATAGACGTAAGCTTCGGGATTTATATCGGTAGTTGTCGCTATAGCGGCTAGTTCTCCGGCTTCTATCGGTATCGTATAAATTAATCGGTATAGGTTCCCGATACGTCGTCCGATAGTAAGGGATCTTACTCGCTTATTATTAACCTCTAATAGGTAGGCTTGACCGTCTTAAAGATATACTTGGACTCCGGCGGCGTCTAATTTTACTACGGATACGAGGTTTACTTCGAAATCCGGTATATAAAGGCAATCCTTTAAGATATACGGTTCTTTCGTATCCGTAAAGGTTAATTGTACGTCTCCGTATCCGGGTGATATTATAGTTTCCTTACTACCCTATTTAACGGGTGTATTCCGGGTAGTATAGGTCTTAAAATAAGCCCTTTCGTTTATAATATACGAGGTACAAGCCGAATCTAATAGAAACTAGACGGTTCCATTCGTGTTTTTTACCGATATATCGCGAATATAAGACGTTAGGTTCGTATTCGAGTCCTTAGGTTGTTCGTTAGTAGCCTCGTTACTAGCGTAGAGTACTACTTCTTCGTTTAGGTCTCGGTCGGTATCGAGTATATCTATATCGGGATAGCTTTGATTCCTACTAGATAACTCGATATTATACGCGTCCTTAGTCGTATTTAGGTCCCTCGTATAGTAGGCTTCTTGTTCGGTAGCTCCTAAGTCCTTATTCTTAAGGTAGCTTAGTTTTTTCTCCGGATATTTAATCCAACACTTATTTTCTAAGTGTCCTATACCCGTACGACCTTTTCCGATACAGTAGGTGCATTTTAAATACGGATTCCTTAATTTGCTAACTCGATTATTACTAATAGGGGCTGCCGGAGTAGTCCGAAAACCGCTATTAGTATAAAGGACCCTAGCAGTTTTATAGGTTTCTAACCGTCGAGATTGGTCTAAGAGGCCGTTTACTATATCGTCTAGGTATAGTATATCTTGGCGATCGTCTCTAGATCGATTCGTAATCGTAGTAATAAAGGTAGAGTAGTTTTCGTCGACTCCGTTTAGTAGTAGCGAAATCGATAGCTTTTCGGGTATAGCTATTCCTCTAGCTTCTAGGGCACTTATAAGCCTAGTATATTCGTTTACGTAGGTCTCTATAGTACCAGCAATAGCTAGGTTATAATTAAATAGCTTGCAGAATAATTAGTATTCGGCGGCGAATCCCTTCGGAGACTACCGTTTTTCTAAGATATTCTAAGCTTCAGCCGGCGTCGTAGCGGTTTTTACTTATAATAGAGGCCCGTCTTTAAGGGTTAACCTTAGTATAGATAGTGCCGATCTTAGGGTTAACTCGTTATTACTAGGATTCTCTTCTAGGGCCCCTTCGTATCCTTTATAAGTTAAGATATTCTTAACTTTTTCGGACCAGATCTCGTAGTTACTACTACCGACTAGCTTATCGGATTCCGGTATAAGTCGGTCGGTCATTTTAATAGATATAGGTTGTCTTTTTCTAATAATTATAGTTTAATCACTAGTTTAATCTATAGCTGTTTATCCTAAACCGTATATTCTTACTTAAGAAGCTATCTTAAGTAGAGTAAGTATAAGGAGTAGGTTAATTCTTTAGATTAAGACTAGTAGCGTAGGTCTTTCTTATAGATTAATAGATTAATCTATCGGTTTTTACTACCTTCGGTAGCTTGAGTTTCTCTTCGAGGGTCTTTTGAAACTACAATAGTTTTAATAGTAACCGTTGTAATTACGAAAGAGTCGTTTGTTTCGATTTTTAATAGTAGTCGGGTATCCGTATTTAGAGTATTTAATTGGTATTGTTCTTGTCCGCCGTTATTGTCTTCGTATAGTAGTATACTCGGGGATTGGTTATATAAGTCGTTTATATATCGATAGTCGTCTAGATTAAAAGTATCCGTTATCGATATATAGTAAGATCGGTAGGGTATTTCGAATAGTAGTCGATAGCGAGTAAGGCTTAGTATCTTAGGTTAAGAGCTAGCCGGGCTTATAACCTGTTGAATTGTATAGTAGTAGTGTAGGCTAAGCTGTGTTGTGTTCGTTATGTTCTATCTAAACTAGTGACTATCCTAGGCATATATATATTTAGTCCTTCCTATTGTCGAGTATCCTTACTATTGTCGGCTACTCCGACAATAGTATCGGTATATCCGATAGTTCTAGAGGCGCCGTATTACGCCTCGTAATCTTATTTCTTTATATATAAAGGCTGTATATATATAAAGAAGGATATAAGGACAAAGCAGCCCGAAATTATCATTCACTCGCTTTGAGGCTAACAAAGCTTATTTCTAAGAGTCGAGCATCGAGAGCGCCGCAAGCTTGTCTTATCGTGGAAGGCTGGCCCGGCGAGACTCCGCCTGACCTACGCCGGTATTGCATAGACGTGTGACGTGCGTTTCGTGTCGCATTGACTTGAGACGTCCAGTGACTGACCTGAAAAGTGCCTTGAAGTGCAACCCTTCCAACCCGTTTCTAGGAGCGACAACGAGATCAGAGTGTAAGAGATCGGGCGTAAAGTTCATGTAAACCCCACCGGACTTGAGTCCTTATGAAAATGCCGCCTTCCCCGGCTTCAGGTCATTTGCCTCTCCAGGCCAAGTCATTGCCGGTTTTCCAAGGAGACATCGACAGCCAGGCGTTGAGTCGTTCCCAAGAATGGAAAGCATGCTGCGTACATCGTCCAGGCTGTTGAGAGGGACTACGAAGTACACCAAATCGGCAATAGCTTAGGCTGCGCTTGTGATGAGGCCTGATCCTGTACCGCCTGTGATAGAGTGCAACAACGTGAAGCGCTTATTGTGTGAAGCTGGGCGAGCACGTCTTTGAGTAGTGGTGTCTGAATGCCACTGGCGGTGGCCTATGGCTCGATTGAAAGCACCGCAGTAGAAGTCATTGCAGGGTATAATTGTCAATGCCAAGTCGAGAGCGACATGCTGTACGCCGAGTGGTTTTCGAACACAATTGCAAGGTCTGAAATGGAGGGAAAACTCGGAAGCCCGTAAGAAGCATCAGTCTAAGGGAATTGTGCTTGGATTGCTACAGTATGACTTTTGAGAGGCCATTTGGGAAGCTATGAGCAAGGAAGTCCTTGTCATGACAGAGGTAAGCGGCCAGTAACGAATACCTGTCGTGGTTGAGCTCGGGCTGATTGGTGGCCAGCGGCAATGTCCCAAGCTATGCACGAATTGACGAAGAGCTCCTCATCCTCCTCCTCATCCTCCTCCTCATCCTCCTCCTCATCCTCCTCCTCATCCTCCTCCTCATCCTCCTCCTCATCCTCCTCCTCATCCTCCTCCTCATCCTCCTCCTCATCCTCCTCCTCATCCTCCTCCTCATCCTCCTCCTCATCCTCCTCCTTATCCTCCTCCTCATCCTCATTACGCCCACGTAATCGGAATACACTCTCCTCTATGAATGGCGAAGCCCTGACCACCATCCATCCGCGGCACAGCATTTGGAAGATACATGCATTTGCTCTGAGCCAGTTCGTTGTTCTTGTTGGGCTTCGACGGCGGAGCTTGTACTTGGTGTTGAGAAGACGAAGAAGAATGGGAGGAAGCGGTCGATGAGTTTGGTTGAGATGGTGGAGATCGGGAGAGGAAGAACCAGGAGGCAATGAGGATGAGGAGGGCGGCGATGAAGATAAGCAGAGGACGGAGGAGGCGGTTTTCTTGTTGCATTTGTTCTTTTTGGTGCTGTTTCTTTTGGTGCTCCCTAAGCGTGGTGGGTTTGGTTTTGATTGTTGTTGCTGTTCGAGATGGCATTTGGAGGAGCTGTTTCGCAGGTAAGAAGGAGAGCAGTGCGTTGGTAAGCTTGGTGGGAGGGGCAGAAGATGAGGAGAAGATGAGTGGAGGTGTTCTTTATGCATGCATACAGTCGCGGATGCAAGGCGCGGGAAAAGTTTGCTGCGTTTCCAAGAGATTCGCGGCAATCTCTGACCGTGGGAATTTCGGATTCTTTCTCTCTGCTCGCTGCTCATCAGTCTAAAGGAGCTCAGTTCGTGTGTTCGAGAAAGCGCAAGAAACACGACGTGTACATATCCTGCTTATGCTTGATGATCCATGAACATCGCTCGAGCTGAGAAACCGCATACGCAATGCCGCAAGACATCACGATGCCCAGAAAGTATACATCGTCCTCATCTTCCTCAATACCACCAGCACCAGCATCAGCCGCGTCTGAAAGCAGCAGCGTCAGTCGAATGACCAGCGCGACATCACGCAGCAATGTCGGCAGGAGTCGTCACGCCAGCAGAACGCTCATCCAGCGCGACAGAGGACAAGATGATGCGCAAGTGCGAGCTCGGGGCGGAATCGGGATGGATGCGGTGGATGAAGGCCAGCCGACGCAGGCACATTCGTCGTCGACTGACTTGCGGCCTCATGGCGTGGTAGTGGGAGAGAGTGTGGGCGTGGTTGGGAATGAGGATGGCGCTCACGCAGCTCCGCCTGCGCCCCCATCTCCGCCACCACCTCCGCGGAAATCATCGCATCCTCGGCCGCCAACCCAGCTTCAGCCCCAGCTTCAGCCTCAGGCGTCAATCCCTCCTTCATCCTCACGACACATTGACAGCCCTCGACACAGCCAACCTCGTCCACGCACTCGCATCACACTCGCTGCATGGCTTTTGCTCGCCACCATTTTCTTCCCCATCGCCTACCTGATCTCTCCTTTCGCCTTGGCCGCCACTGCCGACATCGTAGAATGGCGCCAGCAGAGCCGCGCACCTCGATTTCCCCCTTCCAGCCATAGCGACATCGTCTCATCCAGCCTGAACCACCTCCGCAGCAAGACCCGCTCCTCCCGAACCTACTACAACAATCTCCATTTCTCCAAACGCATCCTCTGCAATACCGACTACCTCAATTGTGCCATCCAGCCGAATCCTCGCGAACAACCCTTCTTCGCCGACGTCGAGCGTCGGCGTACCGACACCACTTCTGGCGCTGCATGTCCCATCCTGCTTTGCAAAGGAGAAACCATCCTGCCATGTCACGCCGCCATCTCAGACTACCTCCACCGCACCACACACGTCACCGAGCCCATCGCCGTTCTCTGGGCCCAATACAATGCCAATCTCACCCGCTACATTAGCACCACCGAGCGCACCATGATGGAATTGCGTCACGTCGTTGCGGCCCAGCCATGGTGGCCCATCGGCCGCGCTCAACAACTATACGAGTCTATAGCCGTCTCAATGCACGACTTGGCGCGCCACCCTGATCACGATCATCATGACCAGAAAGATGAAATCATACCCCTCACACTCCTCCGCTCCACATCACCCGCCTGGTCCATCTTCCGCCATTTCCGCCGCACCCTCGCCAGTCTGGAACTCTACAACGATCTCCAAATCAACCTCTGGCAGGACCTCATCAAACGACTCCATCGCGACATCGGATCCACGAAATGGGCCCGAGAAATCAGGCGTCAGCTCACAAGCAGTGCGGCGCCATGTATGGCCGTTGTGGAGGACGTGCCCGTGTGTGGCCGGTCAGATTTTCCTCGGGAATGGTTCGATCGGTGGGTTGCGAAAAATGTAGCCCAGGCGTGCAAGTCTGTGAGTGACGATACTATCAGCGGCGAGGTGGTGGGAATGGTGGAGTGTGCTTTGGCGAGATTGATGAGGGGTGTTGGTTTGGGAAAGCAGGAGGGCGAGAGATGGGATTATGATGACGAGGATTATGATGACGAAGAAGATATGGAGTGGTGGAAGACGTTGATAGAGTTCTGCCAGGAGGATTGAAGCATGCTTTCTTGCTCTTCGATGATGATGATGATGAAGATGCGGAATGGCGGAAAACGTTGATGGGGGTCTGTCAGGAGGGTTGAAGCATGCATTCTTGGTCCTCGACTTTCATCATGGCTGCCGCAAGCAGTCTCACATAGCATGAGCACCACGATACTCAAAGCATCCATGGTTCCTATAACCACGATTCTCATGACCACGATTCTCATGACCACGATTCTCATGACCACGATTCTCATCACTACGATTCTCATCACCACGATTCTCATCACTACGATTCTCATCACCACGATTCTCCTAATCACGATCCTCATCACCACTACTCTCATCGTCCCGTCTTCCGCCATCTCTACGAAATTCCACTTCGAGCGCTCGGTAGTCTTGCTAGACTCATATTGCCGAACGTGGACAAGATCCAAAAAAAAACTCCTTGCCCGCTTGACTTGCGACTCAGCCAGGCCCACTGAAGATGGGTGTGATCAAGAGGAGGACATGCGATATGTACACTATTTTCCTTCATCGCCGTAGGGAGGGCATTGTCTGAAAGGGTTGTTTCGACTTACATACCCAACCAGCGAGCTCTTCTAGGGCTTTCCATAGTTTGCTTTGCTAGCCTCGACGACAGGAGAAATGGCACGAATGGTCTTTGTAAGAAGTTCACTCCCTCCCGACAAACGAGGTACTAGGGATACGGATCTCTTAGAGGTTCGGGATGGGAGGAATCTCTGAAATGCTCTAACAATGGATTACACTGTCACTCGACTAGGCAGGGGGCAAGCAAGCTTGTTCTGACACGGACTTTTCTCGCTTCTTCTCCTAAACTTGCTGTCGATGATTTTCTGTCCTATCGGCCTTGGTTGCTTGCTATATTTGCAACTTCTGCCAATGCTTCCTCTTGAACGGATGATGACTGTTCGACCTCTAACACATTGTGGATCTCCGGCAAGGCTAAAAGTAAAAGAGGAAAAGACAAACAAGAAGGGTAAGCAGGCTGTAGTAGAGCGCCAAGTGGTTGATGAAGGTAGTAAGGAGTGTTTCTCGCAGTTCTCTGCCTGTTTCTTGTGCTGATCTTCAAGCTTCTTGGAGGCCATGTTGGGAATTTCATCCAGCTTAGCGAGTGGGGCTTCGAGATGCATTTCCTTGGACCAAGGCGGCACGTGTGCTGACTCCGTGAGCTGTACTGCGTGACTTGCAGTCCTCCTTTCTTCTTCGTTCGTTACATTACATCCCGCCTTGGATGCTGTTATAGGAGTCCAATCATTTCCGATGTTTGGGGCATACATTTTCATCACCATGGGTTGGATCCGGCAATGATGTGCCATGCATTGAAGCCTGTGTCGTCTTCATCGGCACCCTGCTTATGTTGTTGTTCATCATCATTTTCCACATCTGCGGCGATGGCTCGCGTGGTGTATCGCTGCCTCTGCTAACCTGCGACTCAGCACTTGTCTTGTCCGGGCTGACTTCATCCAGGTCAACGAGGCTTTCTACAATCCTTATCGACCCAGATCTTTTCCCGCGTCCAGGTGTTTGTGTGTACGCTCCAAAGCAGGTTGGCGTTGAGTCTATCTCGCGCTCCTCAGCAAATGAAGATGGCGCAGCTGCATCTGCACAAAAGAAGGGTTTGGGGTTGCAACGAAGCCAAAAGCGCGGAAAGGACCAAACGCCTCCGCATCGGAGAAGGCAACAACAAAGCCATCTGAGAAGCGAAAGGCTGATATACCACCATCATCACCACACGTTACAGCTACGACGACAATGGCTCGGGTGAGGCTACAGCAGAGCGGGATGCTCGCTCAGAACGCTCTCGACAAGCGATGCAGAAGGGATGGAAGATTTCAACACCACAAGCCTCGAATAATGGCGAAGAAGTGTGAAGGCTGAACTGAACACCGGGCTGGGAGCGCCACATAGTTGGCTGCTTCATTCTCGCTTGCATTTCCGGCAGTTTGAGTGAGACTGGTAGAAGGAAAAGCTCCTGGTGAAGTTCGTGGTGCACACAGTGTGTGATGTGAAGAGATTCGCGGATTTGAAGCTTCGGCGATCTACCAAATGCGCCTGGGAGGCTATGGAAAGTTCGAACACCAAAAGCATCTAGGTCGGACAGGCAAGATCAAATTCATACTTCATCACCTGCCTCTCCTTTACTTCATGCATAATCAATCAGGCTTTCCTCGAACTACCTTGCCTGTCCCAATCACCAGAATTCATACCCCATTACCTCCCTCTCCTTTATTTCATGCATGATCAATCAGGCTTTCCTCGAACCACCTTGCCTGTCCCAATCACCAGAATTCATACCCCATCACCTCCCTCTCCTTTATTTCATGCATGATCAATCAGGCTTTCCCCGAACCACCTTGCCTACCCCAATCACCAGAATTCATACCCCATCACCTCCCTCTCCTTCGTTTCATGCATGATCAATCAGCTTTCCCTCAACCCACTACCCTTCCCAGCATCATCACCACGACCCCCACAAAACCTCGGCTCGACAACCCTCTCAAAAGCCCTCATCTGAATCTCCGTAACCTTCCAAACCCCTCCAATCAACTCACAAATTGTCTTCACATCATTTGCCCCATCTACATCTCCTTCCATAGGTCTGGCGATGAGATCCCGACAAATTTTCACAACCGCCTTCTCCCCAGCCGTCTGCATCTCATACACCAGCTCATCGGCGCGACGACGATGGTCTTCTGGGTTGGGACATGTGCATGCCGTGCGGATGTGGGATTCGACGAGATCGGCGGTTTCGAAGACGCGGGTCCAGTGGGCGGTCAGGGCGTGAGAGACGATGAAACCAAGGGAGATGCCGAGGGCGGAGGGAGAGGGTTTGTAGTGGACTTTTGTGATGAGGTTGGAGAGGTTGGTTCGTTGCTGAGAAAGATATTAGCCGATTTCATTTCATGTGGGAAGGATGACGAAGGTGTTCAGTTCGCGTACCACGGCACCTTGATGGATGATTGTGTTGGGTGAGGAAGGATTCTCACTCGAAGTGGCTGTTTCTACAGGGAGAGGAATACGAGCCATTTCTTTGTGCACTTCGGTTAGGAGATTGCGGAGCTGGAGGGCGTAGGTCTTACTTCGTTGGACCTGGAGAGCCATGTCCGTCAAAGATTGGCGTGGTGCTAGTGCTGGCGCTGGTGGTGGCAGTGCCATGCTTTCGTTTACTGTTGGGGTTCAATGAAGTTGGGGCGAGTTTCAGATGCAGCAGTAGGCAACTGAGTGTGAGCTAGAATGTCAAGGCAAGAATAGCTGACTTAAGTAATGTAGATTGAGCTCCTCCCCTCCCACATGATTTTGATAGAATTCGACGATTTGGGCGTTGTCGCTCGAGAAAACCAGCTTTGCCAACGCTGCACTTCTTACTCGTTCTTTCTTTCTTGCTCGCAGTTCTTGGAATTCTCAGGATGCTAGGAGCTCTCAATGTTGAATACCCCAACCGAGCATTAGAATGCATAGATCTGGGCGTTCTTGGGAAACTCAACTTGGGAAGTCCAGATGTCCTTGTCTGGCTTTTTGCTTTCTGTTTCTGGCTTTCTTGCGTTGGGATTCTTAGTGTTCTGGAGACAGATCGTGCCGAATCTCTTGCTTTCTCTAGTCGAGCAGAACAGCCTTTCTCACACCATCTCACGGCTCCTTAAAGGCTTGATCTGTACCATGCAAGAGATACCCTTCCATCCCAGTGCTCTTCCTTAACGACCGAGTCGAAAAATTGGGAGCTTCTGAATCATGGCGGCACGCACAGTAAGCTGTAATCTTGTTATTACGATGATGGAACTACGTGAAGAGAACTCAATAGCTGACTTTGTTGCCTCTCAGTACGGTGCGGGAGACTTCACCCGCGCCCAACTTCTTGCACCCAAGCTACGTGGTCCAAAGGGATCCTTCGCCAGATTCGACTTTCGCCCAGAAACAGAACGACATAGGATCGTCGACTTCTGCAATCGACATGGGATCAATGCGGAGTCGCTGCCAGAAGTCGATCAGGTTCTGGAAATGATGCGCCTTGTAGACTACCTGTCGGATGACGTCGAGCTGAACCAGGCTTTAGGAAGGCATATCGTTGACTGGATCTCGCATACGCAGACGCAGAAGTTGCTCCAGCCTCACGACGCAGGCTTTGCGACGACAGCTCGGCCGTGGCAGGGTTCCAAATACACTTTGATTGTGGCTGTCCAAGACCGGCTGAAGGAACTGGGAGCTTCTTCCGTTCATCTAGCACCAGCGCGCCTGCGGCCAGTCGAAGAGCGTGAAGCATCAGAACATGTCAGTGATCGAATTTCTTTCGACAAGAGGACGCCAACTGACCATGAACGCACAGGCTCGCGATCCCATGTCTTCTACAGCAGGACTGCCACAGGGTCAAGTTCGTTTTCAGAAGCACATATGATCATTCCAGACCAGGTCAAGCTAACGTGGACCACGCCAGGAAACCCGCGCTCCTGTGAAACCCGCGCCTCTCCCAGCACCATCAGCACGCCAAGGCGGCGGCGCTCTGCTTTCCAGCTTCCGCAACATCCTCAGTCGTCCTGCCGATCCCACCGTAGACGCCAATCCTCAACTTCCTCTTTCATCCGCTCGCTCCACACCTCGCCTTGCTCCAGGACATTTCCCATGCAAACCCAGCGTCCATCCTGAAGAACCCTCCTTCCGATCCGGAGTCACTTCCGCGGTGCACACTTCGCAAGCACCGGCGCATCTCCAGAGGCTCGCGGCCAAACTGACTCCCCACGGTGTCTCCGATCTTGCCGATTTCCTCGCTCTCAAGCTCAATCTGGGAACGCCAGCGCTGGGCGATGAGGACAATGAAGAAGTCTTGGAGGTCTTGAGCGCGGTACATCGGAAGTTTGCGCCTGTAGTGGAAGAAGCGGAACGTAGAGCGGCGGCGGCAGAGGAAGAATTTCGCCAGTGGAGGAGGTTCGCGGCACGAGAATGAGGTTGATGGACGCCAGTGATTGCGGCAGTGGAGGAGATTGGGGGCATAAGAATGAGCTTGATAGAGTACAGTGATCTCAGGGCGGACGTGGACCATGATTGTTTCTGTATCGCAGTAGTCCCAGTCCGAGTCCAGAATGTTATGCCAGCCATGTTCACCACATCCTTCAACAGCATTCGAAATACCTCATGTCCACGGCGAAGGTGCAGATTGCGAGCACAGCATACCCTCAATTTCCCACATCTGACGGCCATGCCTGAAGTATTTGAAGGAGAAGCAGCTCTCGATCACGGAAACACCATTGTGCTGACGAACACCTGGACGTTGCTGTCTCTGCACTGTCGCATGGAGACTTCGTGATACTCGCTCGTAGCGCATGGCGAAATGCACATCGTTCGGGCGACGGGGCGTATGGTGATTTGCGGAGGGCGAGGTGGTGAGTGCAAACGGTCTTGGCTTCGTTGCCGCGAAGGTGCGTTGTGGTGACTCTGCGGTCGTGTCCGACGGAGGAGACTTTTTGGCCGTGTGCCAAATTTGTGGCCATCGCTGCAGAGCCAAAACTTCTGGCCCTAGAATGCAGCCATCAACGCGGGACTACAATTTCTGGACTCTAGCCTCGAGTCTCGACAGGCATCTGCTTGGCGAGAACCGCAATGCCGTCGGGTTCATTTCCATCAGCTCCCAAGTTTCCCGCGGTTCAGTGTTTCATACCGTGGAAGTCTCAACAAAGAAAGCATGGAGAACACTCCTGTATACCGTGGAGTTCTACATACCGTGGAATCTCAAGGTAAGAAAGCAGCCATGACTTCTCTCGGCCAAGAATACATCTTCTCTCGTCCTTGCACTCATGTTGTCGTTCCTCTTCTATCATTTCCAGCAACAACTTGCAAGCGAGCACAATCACCAACAAACAGACATGCCACGCCGCACAGACTACACATCCGCAAGCCCTCACATTAAAGCATTCTTCGCCGAAACCTGCATCGCAACCGTAGCCGACTTGACACCAGAAGCTCTGAACGCCCTGTACCATGACCTGGCACCAGCATTGTACGGAGAGAACAACAAGGAGATGGCCAAAGAAGAAAAAGAAGCAGAACAGAACAGCCCCAGTCCTGGAAGCATTGGGATCGACGCAACTGAGATGGCGAGGAGGCTGAGGAATCTCTTGGCGCATATCGAACGAGGTCACGATGATCTCAAGACTCCAAAGGGGAGAACATTTGCCAGGTCTCGTTTGGTGAGCGACGCCGTAGGTATCAGCTTCGGTCAGACGGTTGAAGAAGATTCGCAGAGACTCAAGTCGAAGGAACAGGTTGGGAAGAGCGAGTCTGGTGAGCCTGCTACATGTACCACTGGGTCTGGTACTGAGATTCAAACACTCCCGGAGGAAAATCACGATATGGCCGATGGGCAGTCGAGCATGGACCTCTCGTTTGGGGTTGCTCCAGCTCAAGTCCAAGACATTCCGGCACTGACAGCCCATGGCGGGCTTTCTTCACCTACGAGCAGTGCTTCACACGTCGGCAGTGTAAGTGTTTCAAGACCGACAAATGACGCAAACGCTGACGGTGCAGAAGCCACAGCAGGACCCAACTGCACCCATGATCGGGCCCTCACCTACCATACCTTACCCACTAGGAGAACAGACGCTTTCCGAGTTCAAATACCTGCTTGTTTCAGCCAACGATCACTTCCGCGATGGCGACCTCCTTTCCACGATGCAGTTTCTTACGAAAGCCTTGGACGGAGTGGTATTTCAGCAAAGGGAAGCTGGTAGAACTCGGCTCCAGGCGGCGGAAGAAGTCGAGGATGATTTGTAGATGTCATTTGGAGACAAGTGTAGAGGATTCGCAAACTGCGAGCCCCTGCTTTGCAGATCTCTGTTTTGAATACGATGCTCGCAACGAAAGCTCCATTCCCAACAATCAACAAGCATGCTTCTTAGACTGCTCCTGCCTAGGCAAATGTAGCCGTTTGACTTGTTATACCGTTTCAAAAGTCCAGTCCTCTCTCCTCCCGTCGTTGCAATACTTAAGCAGGCCGCGTGACAAGCCCTTTCAATCCGGAAGGACTGCGCGTAGTATCCCAACCGTCGAAACTAATACGCCTAGGGTAGAGGACAAGGCAGCGTCGGAGGTAATTACTATAGCTTAATTTAGACATCTTATCTATTACAAAAAAATCGAGATCATTGTAAATATTATAGATAAGCGGTAAACCGATAGAATTGCTTACTATTTAAACAAAGGACTTACTAGCTACTTATATACCCTAGTGCTAAGAATTACAAGCTATTACTAAGCCGTAAGTAAATAATCCTTTAACTTCCTTCTCCTTCTCCTACTTATAAATCTAACTAGCCTCGTATATTCTCGAGTATTACTAATAGTCCCTCTACTTAGCTATCTAGTTATAAACTAAATAGCTAAGTCCTAATCCTTCTTAATCGTTCTTATCCCTAGGGCTCTTTTTACGTTTTCTTCGAACTTCCCTTTTATTAGAGGTTTAGTAAGGAAGTCTACGAGTTAGTCCTTTATTAAAATATACTTTATATCGACTAGCTTATCCTTAACTAGTTACTATACGTAGTATACCGCTACGTCGATATATTTTGTTTTAGAATAAAATTCCGGATTTCGTACTAAAGCGATAGCCGCCTTATTATCCCTATAGATCTTTATAGGTTCTTTATAGTCGTCTTCCGTAAGGTATTAGACTTACTCGAGGAAACTTAAGATCTAAATAGCTTCTTTTACGGCGTAGGATAGCGCTAAGTATTCGGCTTCCGTAGTACTAGTCGTTATAGACCTTTATAGTTTAGTAGACTAAGATATAGGTTCTCCGGCTAATAGGTATATATATCCTATCGTTAATTTCCTAGTCGAGTCTACCGCGTAGTCCGAATTGGTATAGATAACCGGTAGACGAGTAACTAAAGTACTCGTATCGTTTTCGTTCTTCGGGATAGGACTATACTTTATATAGTAACCCCGAGTGTTTCCTAGGTATCTTAGGCCGTAGATATCTCCGCTATAATATCTCCTAGCCGGATTTCTAGAGGATTGGCTTAGTCGTTACGTTAGAAAAGATATATCCGGCCTAGTAGCTCGTACGGTCTAATTTAGTTTCCTAATAAGTCGTTAGTATTTCTAGACGTCTACTACCGCTTTATCCTTTATAATAGATAGTAGATTTGCGTATCCGTTCGCTAGAGTCTATACTCGGAAGACTTCGTCTAGATCTAAGCCCTCTTCTCTAAGCGTATTTTCGGTATAGTACCTTTAATCTAGTAGTATAGAGCGGTCGGCTTCTCTCTCGATTCGTACGCCTAATATAAACTTAGCGGAACCTAGATCCTTTATTTTAACCCTCTTTATAAGCCCGTCCTTTAGCGGTTTAACCTCCGCTTCTATCTTCGCTAGTATAATAAGATCGTCGACGTATAATACGACTATTAGCGTATAGTCGCTATTAACGAAAACCGATTAATCCGTAGGTATAGCGTAGAGGTTGTATTCTTTAAAGAAAGCCGTAATAGTCTTATTCTAAACTCGTCCGGATTACTTTAGTTATAGTACTCCTTTTAGGAGTTTAAGGACCTTATTAGTTCCGAGAATATCTAGGCCCTCCGGGATAGCTAGGTAGACTTCCTCTATTAGTTCTCTAAGTAGATAGGCACTTACTATATCTATTTAGAATATAGTAAGTCCTTTACTAGTAGCGATAGTTAGGAGAAGGTATAGGCCTTCGAGACGTATTACCGGAGAGAACGTCTTAAAGTAATTAATTCCGTATAGTTACGTAAAGCCCTTTCTTACTAATCTCGCCTTAAATTTATCGATTTATCCGTTTAGTAGTATTTTTGCTTTAAAAGCCTATTTCGGAATCGTAAGGTTTATTTGCCCTTTTCCGTCCTCTAGCTTAGAATAGTTAATAATCTTATAGGTATTTTTAGCCGTTTAGGACTCGATATATTCTTTAGTAGCGTCTTTCTATTATCGGGAGTAGGGCCGCTAATAGCTTCCGTATATGTTTCGGGAGTAGGTATTTCGAAGGCCTTTCGATAGTCGACTTTTAGAGCTACTAGCCCTATCTCGTCCCTTAGTCTCTTCGGTACCTTAGGGACCCTTATAGTCCTTCTTAGTCCTCCTCTATTTTCATTCGAAGCCGTAGGAGTAGTAGACGGTTCTCGAGTTATTCTTTCGTCGTCGTTATTTAAACTATCTTTTTCGTCTTATAGTTCTAGAGTATTATCTTCGGCTTCGGAATCTCTCTCTATTTCCTTAGATTCTCCTTTATCTAGGATATTAATATCGTTCTCGTCGTTATCCGTAATAGACCGTAGGGTAGGTAGTTCTTCTCCGGATAGTAGGCTACTTCCCTTAGCCGATTCGTCGAATCTAACGCTAGTATAGATCCCGATAGCGTTTGTCTTAGGATTATAGATCCTATACTATTTCGTAGACTTCGTATATCCGACAAAGATTCCTAAAAATGCCGTCCTTTCTAGCTTATCTTTCCCTTTCTTTTTAGGAATAAATAGATAGGCTAGATAGCCGAATACTTATAAGTATTCTCTACTAGGCCTTTTTCCGGTATAGAGCTCCTCGGGAGTTATATCTCTTCCTTTAATCGATAGTCTCCTATATAAATAGGTAACTATATAGGCCGCTTCGCCCTTAAATTATTTAGGTAATCCGGATCCTTCTAAAGCCGCCTATACCTTAGATATAATAGTACGGTTTTATCTCTCTACTATTCCGTCTTATTCTAGAGTATAGGGCGTTATTATTTCGATTCGTAGTCCCGGATAGGCCTTAAAAGCTTTTATAAGCTCTAGAGCGTTATCGATTCTTACGGCCTTTAGTTTCGTCCTCGTTCTAAGTTTAGCCTCGTCTTTCTAAGCCTTAAAGGCTTCGTATACGTCGCTTCTATAGCGAGTAAGATAGATATCTAGCCGTTTCGTATCGTTATCCGTAATTATTAGTATATACCTATTTCCTCTTAAGGTACTATACTTATACAGACCCTAAAAGGCGATATATACCCTATCTAGGGAACTATCTACTTTCTCGGTCTCTTTTTAACTTTATCGTCTATCGGACTTTATAGTAATATAAGTCTCGTAAGGCTTATTTAATATCGAGAGCTCTAGGACTACTAGTAGTACTTTATATATTACGTTGTTTTTCGTCTTCCGGATATCCTAGGCGTCGATACTAAAGTAGCGTAGTACCTTTAGTCGTAGTACTAGCTACTCTTAAAGTCCCGATAGATCCGGATTCCTTTAGAACGTAGGATCTTCCGACGCGTACTCCCTTAGCTAGTTCCTCGTTTTCTCTTCGAAGTATAGCCTCTTCTTTAGTAAATAGAGTCGTAATACCTCGTTCTAAGAGTTAGCTTATCGAAAGCAGGTTATAACCTATAAAGGGCTACGCCCTAAGTAGAAAGCGCTAGCCTTAGGCATTCGGCCTACGCGACTCTAACCTACTACTTAGCGCTTAGCGTACTATATAAAACTATTCGGATTTACGTAGATAGACCTAGCTCTTTATCGAACCTATTAAGTCTTATATCTAGCATCTACGTACGCGTTGCTTACCCGTAATATTAGGTTCGATCTTTATTATAGGAAACGCTAAGGTTTACTAGGAACCCGAGTAAGAAGGCTAGGGGAACGCTATCCCTACTACGCTAGAGATAACTAGGGATAAGATTTATCGCGCCTTCGAGAGTCTCTATACTAGGCAATAGACAATAGAAGCCTAGCTATAAGCTACGCGCTCTACGCTCTAATAGGCGGAAGTATCTCGCTAGGCCGGGTCTACCGAAACTAGTACGACGTAAGACTAGTCTACGAACGAGATCCTAAAAGGACTCCTAGAAACCCTCTCGGCTACCGGCTAAAATATAACGGCGTTACGCGAATAGAAGCTACTATCGTAGGACGGAAAAGCTAAGATATTTCGGGACTACCTACTACGACTAAGAAGTTCGTACCGAGTTCGTTCCGGGTTAAAACTAAAGCTCTCCGAAGATTACTACTAGGACACTATCTACGATACCCTACCGGCGAAGGAACGCGCTAGAATACGCTACTTCTAGGAAAGAGGAAGCCTTACGAAAGGAAAGGACTCCGAGGCTTTCTTCTAGCAACTCGAGGACGTATTCGCGGATAGTAACGAAGCCGCTAAGGCGCTAGAGCAACTCTAAGCCCTAAGGTATACTTAGGGACAACCCTAGTACGACTACTAGCTAGAATTCGACGGCCTCCTACTAAGCGTAGGTAGAGACCGCTAGACCGACAATACAAAAATCGGATACTTAAAGAATACCTTCTTAAACGTAGCTAAGACTTATACCGCCGCTATACTAAAGATTAAGGATTACTACCTCTATATAGAGGAAGTCGAGCGAATTATAACGAACCTCGAATCGACGGACTAGTTTAAATAGGCTACGAAACGCTAGTAAGAAAGGAAGAAGGAGACCGCGAGCCCTTCGGTAGTTATCCTACCCTATACGGCTTCTACGGCGAACCTAAAAGTCGACTCCGACGGGGACGTAGTTATAACCCCTGCCTAAAGGAACGCCTTCCGTAAGAAGAACCGCGGAGGTTAGTAAGGAATAGTAGGGAAGCCTAGGGCTAAATAGGTCGACTTTATAGAGAGAGAGAAATGTAAGGAGAAAAAGCTCTACTTCCGCTATAGAGCGAGTAGGTACTATATTCGCGACTACCCGTATATACCGCCGGTTTAACCTATTAAGATTAGCGTTACCTCCGTATAACCTATACTAGAAGACGCGGAGGATTAGTCGGACTTAAGTAGTTCCGACTCGGGAAAAGAGTAACTCTCGCTTAGAGTTAGGAGTCGAGAGTAGATAAAGTACGAATAAGGAAATAGGAAGAAGTTAAAAAGGATATAAACGGGAACCTTATATATACCGATATAGTCCTCGAAAATAACGTCGGAACTTCTACTCTTATCGACGAAGGATACTAGTACTACGCTACGATTAATACGGGCCTAGCTAAAGGCCTCGGGCTTAGCTATATTAGCCGAGAGTCCCGAGAAGTAAAAGGAGCGTCGTCTACGATATAGGACGTAAAGATTATTAGAGTCGTCGCCTTCTAGATAGAAATTAACAAGTTCTGGTAGATAGTATATACTTATATCGTACCGGGATTAGCCTTCCCCCTTATCCTAGGGAACCTATAGAAGGTATATAATAAGGTTAGGACTGCGCCCGAAAAGCGTTAGTACTATTACGAAAGGGCCCGGTATTAGGTTAATAAAGGGCGTTACTACTACGAATTCGATATAAGCGGGAATATCGCTACGATCGACGCTACTAGGAGCCTACTTACCGCTATAATTGCCGAGG